TCTATTTGATTTTACGCATAAGATCCTGCCGCTCCCGCGCCGCCGCCGCTCCCGCCCCGCTGCCCGCTAAACTCGAGGCTGAGGCCTATAAGTGCCTGAGGTATGGAAGTCTTGTTGACGTTTGACGTTTCAAAAACATCCTCCCGTGCCGCTCCCATACTACAGGCATTAATAACGTGACCATACGTCTCGCTTTGGGCGGGACTGTCCCGCTTTCAGACTGTCTGTCCCGCTGTCCCCCGTAAGAGCAAAAGCTTTATTACCTATGGTTAATGCCGCATTAACCATAGGGTTAGCCCATAATTCTACAATGTGTTTTTTATCCACAACGAGGAAGCTCTTTGACTGTATCTCACCTGATGGTAAGTGACGATCAGGCCGAAGGTGGAATCGAGCTTCACCCGGAATCCTCAACCACGGAAGAACTGGCTATCTTACCTCTAACTGCTGGAATACAATAATGCTGTTAACATTGTTGTTATGGCGACAGACTTATAGGTAAGATGGTGGTAGCTAGCCAGGCGGACTTACGAGTAGAACAAGTCCTACCACCAACCAAAACGAACGGAAAAATTTGCCCCCACTGGGAATCGAACCCGGGACTTCTTCGTCTGAAGCAGGTGGTCTTACCATTAGACCACAGAGGCGGTAACGTACATTCCTACTTGAAAAGAGGTGTTTCATTGATGAAAAAGAAATTTCAACATCCAGTATACACACACCTACTTCGTTATTTGAATGAATACTTGCTACTGGTTACGTATGAGTAGATTATAACTGTGGGAAATCATTGAGTGATTACTGATGGCAAATCCATTTGGATTGCCAATTGACGTATTTCTTAATAGATATAAGATCACGACCTTCAGTATAATGTTGATACAACCTGTGATACAACCTACATGTACAAGAAAGTGAGAAACATAATTAAAAAAAAGATTTTTAAGTGATTAATACAACAAGAAGCAGTTTTTATTAAGTTTGGCACTAGCACCCACGCAAAATAAACTTCTAGCCAAGTTTAACATTAATAAATAAGTAATGTTTAAATTAAGGCTTTAAACTTTACAATACTTTGAACTTCTCCAATTTTCTACTGATTAATTTCGTTGCGGGACTTGCGGGTCCAATGGCAGTTTAACTTTCCCCGGGACAATTTGACCTTCACTGGTTGGGTTTTTATTGGCGGTCAAGCTGTAGATCCTACACAGGAGTTGCAGCGTGGGAACGAGAGGTGGGAATACCGAAATAAGCGATTATTTGGGATCGTTATTAGTGGGGACAAGAGGTGGGAATGAGCGAAATGAGCGACTATTTAGGAGTACTAAGTATTCAGCCAGTGTCAAATTATCAAAGGGTTGTTTCTTTGATCTTTGATGTCATAATAATTACTTTCATTATTTAATAGGAATGATTACGGCGTGCTACTATAACAATAGTCATGTGTTAACTTAAATATAAAGACACGGGTCTTAACGCGACATTTTGTTTTTTAATTCAACCGTTTATTCAACAAATACCTACATCAATACATTAACGGCCGTGAAAACTGCTGGCAGCTCAAAAGGCTTTTTTTTCTAGTCATAAAAAAAAGAACAATACAGTTGCCATCAAAAAGCCACTAAATCTAAATTCCATAAATTCATAGAGTCGTTTGTGTGATCGTAAAGTTTATTCGCTCTCGTTGAGGCTTCACTCGTAAAGCGATTGTTAAATTAATCGAGTGATGATATCGTTATGTAATAACGATACGTTATTTAACGTGACGAAAACGTAATAACGCATAAGTTATCGGTGTAGGGTTGGGCTAGCCCTGACCGAGTGAAATGGTGGAAAGCTGAGTTGTCTAGTTTGTGGTAGTGATGTTATGGATATGTAGTTTCGGTTATGGATACGGTTACTGATATAGGAATAATATTATATCAGTTTCGGTTACGGTTACGGATATTTTTTTATTTCGGATATCCGAAAGTTATGCCTTTACATATTATAATGCTATACAAAAAACAATTTCAACTGCCTACATCCGAAACTATCCGAAACTTCTGAATCGGTTACGGTTACGGTTTCGTATATTTTTTATTTCGGATATCCGAAAGTTTCGGTTACGGTTCCGGATATCCATAACACCCCTGGTTTGTGGTGACGTCCGTGGTTGCAACTCTATGGATCACTGCCAGTGATTCACTGGTTAAAATAAACATAACTACCTACTTCTTCATGGATGCATTTGTTTTTTTATATATTTTCCTATTTATTATGTTTTTGTTGTAGGTAAGAAGATTAGTTCTCAAGTTACGTTTTTTGTGTAACTTTAATAAGCATAAAACATTTTCTTCAGTGACTAAACTCTACTCTATCTTAATATACTTTTGTCTTATAAAATAAGTCATATTTCTACTACATAAGAAACCACAATACCTACCTATTTACAACAATGTGTCGTCATCTTACATAATAGAGTTAATGATATACTACTAGTACATTAGGTAATGTAGTTATATGGCCATGAAACTTGATATTTGTTTTTCATTAGGTAAGTAAGTACAGCTGAAACAAGTTTGCTCTTAGTAAAATAACAATGAAGACTGAAGTTTACGTTAATGATTACTTTTGTTCGTTCCATTACCACAAACTAGGCTAATTCGATTCTGGTCGTCTGTCACCCGCAAAAAGTTATAATTATTTTCGTCGTAAGACAATATTCGATGAAAATTAGGTAGTCTACTACAACAGAAAATGGCAATCTTTCTAAGGCCGTCAATAAAACGAATAATAATTACACCATGCTGAAAATGTATAGGTAGTAGTTTTTACAAAGACTATTATATTTTAAGTTAAATAACAATACTCCCGTTAGCCCCTCGTATTAAGCTAAATATGCTTGTGTCACGAGTGAGCTAACTACAATAGTCGAGCGGTGGCGGCGACCGAACCCGCGTTCCCCGGATCACGAGTCGGGCAGTCCGACCCCTTCACCGTTCGGCTATCGTGGCTTCGTCATTAGTCATAGTCAGTATATAGGTAGAACTAATAGTCCTTTCAATCCCTCGTGCTAAGTTAAAATGCACAATGGTCTAGCGGCATGGCGGGGTTTGAACCAGGGTTTCTCGGATATTGGAGGCGCGGGGCGCCTCCTCCTGCATTGCACAGGCTACCACCACCGTCGGACGGGATTGGTCTCGTGGTCCCGGCTAATCATGTCAGCCCCCCAATTTGTGGGGGCGTGTTGGGTCCCGCCGTGTAGGGCGGGACGTCAGCGGAAGGCGCCTTGGTCGTTTCTAGTACCCAAGGCGCCGACCACTATGCGGCAGAGGGAACAGTGGTTACATGTTTTTAGTGGGTTCGAGCCCCACATAACCTGCCGTCCCCCGGCGGTAGGTCATAGATATAGGCCAGTTTTCTGGGTAAAAAAGGGATCTCGAGCCGATCCCACCTTCACAACACACAGACAACACCTACACTCTTCTTCCTCTCAAATTTCATAATAAATAGGAAAAACAAAAGGCAAAATCCCGGAAAAACTGCCCGGATTGGATAAAGCTATGATGACGTCACATGCCAGTCATGACCTGTCAACGACTGTCACACGACGTTTGGGTTCGTTTAACTGTAAACCGCATACGACATATTTCATAAGAAATACGGTTGAAAATATACCAATACTTTAATGTTCAGAATATAAGAAAAGGGTTAGGTAACTTAGGCTGAGTTGCACCACATAACTTTGACCGTAACTTTAACGATAACCGGTGTTTTTCGTATGGAATTTGACAGATTTTTGGCGTTTGTCAAAGTTAAAGTAAGATGGTGCAACCCAGCCTAAGTTTCGGTGGAAAAATGGCACATGAAAGGCGTTTAAGTATAAAATAAAACGTTATTTCCTTCCTTTTCAACCTAAAGATGTCCACTGTTGGACAAAGACGTCCTCCAAGGATTTCCACAAGGACCGATCCTGCGCTACCTGTATCTACGGGTAGATGCTTATCGCAACATTCATCGGGTCGTCGGTCCACCGAGTGGTAGTCTTCTGGTGCGTGGTCGCCATTCGAGAATGTTTCTTCCCGAACGTTCCACGAGCTAAGTGCCACCACGCCCATTGACAATTGAGTTATCTCTTGTATAAATTTTAATATATTTTTTTCCTTCAAATGTTTTTACAAACCATTTTAATTAATAAGACATTTAATAGACGAAGCAGGTCATGGTAATATCTCTCACATAGAGCGAATCGATAATTGATCTCCCATAGTTGTCTTAAATTCCCTCCCTTGCTTAAGTATTAGTATAGTCCATGCACCCTCTTAATATAATCAGATTTTACCTCAAAGAGTTCTTATCGGCCGGAAACCCCGTAATGTCTTGGCTAAAAGGCTTAACATAAAAGCATGGAAGCCCTTTTGATATTTTTAAAGCACCTAATAAGAGTACGTATTGATTGGGGACTTTTTTGGGCCAAAATATCTGATTTTTGTGTCATTTGTTAGTCGTGTTTTGCTTTGACTATACACAATGGTAATGTAAAGGATAATTGGACAGATTGTATGCTTCATGTAAGGTTTAATGGGAGAAGTGTACCTAATCAAAAGTTTTGAAAACTTTGGGAACGTCTATCTACGTCTAAGGCTGAGTTGCACCACCTTACTTTAACTGTAACTATAAGTATAAGCATAACCGAAGTGTAACAGACTCTTGAGTCAGCCTAAAATTATGTCTTAAACTGAACACTAGCCCTAAGTAGGTAAGTATACAATATACATTACATATTCGTGCGGGTCCGTGGCCGAGTCCCCCAGTGTTCGACGCAACCGTGGTGGATGCCCCCGGTCAGTGTTTGATTTTAATTAGTGATTAAACGAACTTACCTGAGTGAAGTTCTATCATAATTATACGAAGCGCTTCGTCTGAAGAGATTAGTATTTGTAGATTATTAACAACTTGTAGTATCGCATAGACTAACCGCTTTTTACACTGTGGTTGAGAGTTTTTTTTTTTATTTTTTTTTATGAGGGTATCCCTACAAACCATTAACTACCGCTACTCGGCTTCCTCTCGTCATTTAGTTTAGAGCTATTAAGAATTACAATCATAACATTGACATATTTCTTTTGTTAACTAAGGGCAAGGGTGGGCAGGGAAAGCATACTAATCTCTTCAGACGAAGCGCTTCGTATAATTATGATAGAACTTCACTCAGGTAAGTTCGTTTAATCACTAATTATACTTCGCGCTTCGTCTTCGAGATTAGTATTTGTAGATTATTAACAACTTGTAGACTTTGAGAGTCAGGACAAAAGGAAATATAGTCAATAAAGTTTTTATTATTAGTTTTTATGTAATTTTATTAATCATTTTTATGTATATTCATTACACGTTTTATGTTAAGTAATGTTAAATCAGCGACTGAATACAATTATTACTTATATTAATTGTAACATCACTATTCTACAAAATTGATCATTATATATGATAGTTATTAATGATAGCCCTAGCGAATGACAAATCATCTGTATTAACAATGTTTCTATTGTAATATTTGCCAAAAGTGTTAGAGTTTCCACTCCAACCAGCGGTGTTACGAATTAGATCCACACTGACCCCAAGGGACTGGGCGCGAGATGTCGCGGCATGACGTGTACTGTGCGCGGAGAATATATCCGTGTTCAGACCACATTCGCCAAGTGTGCGTTTTACCCAACGACTTAGCGTTTGTGAACCAACAGATTTATGTGGTTTACTCATACCAATAAATAGTTCTTCAGATGTTCTTAAAGATGAAGTTTTGTTAAGGTAACATTCTAGAGTTTTTGCAGGGCAAATAGAGGGCTTATCCGTAAAGTAAGGTAAAAGAAGAATTGGTTGTTTAGCACCAGGGCGAGAGGTTTTTATGAAATCGGGAATTTTTATAATTATTTGTCTATTGTGAAACTCTATATTTTTAACTTTAATTTTCGAAAGGGTTTGCATTCGGTGAGCTGTCGTGAGAGCAAGTAACGTAATAGTCTTTTTTGTTAACTGATTTAAGGATAAGTCCTCGTTAGGATGCCATGTACTTAGAGTGTCTAGAACGCAGTTGGTGTCCCAGGTAAAGTTATATTTGGGAAGAGGTGGTCTAATTCGAAACACGCCTTTTAGAAATCTCTGTAGCCTATCATCTTTTGCCACAGCTGGACCTAAGGTCAATGAAAGAGCAGATCTATATGAGTTTAGCGTCCCATACTGGCATCCATCATTAAACATTTGTGTAAGAAATGAAATTACAATGGGGACCGATGCTTTATAATAATCAACTGAATTGCATTGGCAAAAAGACCACCACTTTCGTAGACATACATCGTATTGTTTGATTGAACTATCCGACAACGAGGATAACATGATATCTAAAGAGGCCTTCGGTAGGCTCCTTCTCGTTAACGCTTCCCGGATAACACTCCTGCAACCAGGGTAAGGGAGGAGTGTATTCGACGAGAACTGGAATGAAATGACAGGGCGTTATCGTTGGGTAAGAATGTAATTATATTAGAAACAAGAAGGCTTCTAAATAATGGGTACCAGGCTTGAGTTGGCCAAAGTGGTACAATCATGATTCCATGTGCCTTGTCAGCAATGATTTTTCTGAGGGTTTTGAGAATCATGGATATTGGTGGGAAAGCGTAGAAATAAAAATGTGACCAGCATATTGTAAACGCATTAATAGCCATAGCATCCGGATCCCTGTGCCAGGAGATGTAATTTGAACATTTATGGTTTAGGCGACTTGCGAAAAGATCAATTTCCGGTGTACCGAAATTAACTAATAAATGTTGAAAAGCCCAGTCACTTAGGTTCCATTCTATATCAGGATGGGTTCTACGAGACTCGGCATCTGCCATTATATTGTCACACGACCTAATATATGACGCGAATATGTAAAGCCTTCGGGTCTCGCACCATTGCCATATATCTCGAGTTATTTGAGTTAGGTGCGGGAACTGAACACCACCCATGCGATTGATGTAAGATATCGCGGTGGTGTTGTCTACTCGCAAAAGTACCTGGCAATCATGCAAGTTCTTGGCAAAGATTTTTAAAGCTATGAAGGCGGCAAGCAACTCAAGATAATTTATGTGTTGTTCTTGCTCACTTTGAGACCATTGACCACTCGCCGTATTGCTATCACAGTATGCACCCCACCCCGTTGTTGAGGCGTCAGAATAAATTTCGATAACATAATTATCATCTCTGATACGGCGTACAGAGTGAGTTATAGTATTTGACCACCAATGAATGTCTGGCAAGACAGATTCAGGGATATTCATGAATCTATCGTAATCGTCATGATCTTTTAGATTAAGAAATTTGCATCTTTCTAATTCTTTAGTGTAAAGCCAGCCGTACTCAATAGCCGGACAAGCGGATACGAGTAGGCCTACCAGCTGTGCGTACTTCCTGATTTTGCAGCGTTTTAATTTGGCAAAAAAATCTAATTCAGACTGAACACGTAAACGTTTTTCAGTTGGCAAGCTAAGAGTCATACTACATGAATCAATAATCATTCCCAGGAATTTACATGACTGCGAAGGTATGAGGACACTTTTTTCTGTATTAACGATAAATCCCAAGGAAATAAGTAATTCTTTCGTGCTGTTAATATTTGACATGCACTCTTGAAAGGATTGGCCAAAAAGTAGCCAGTCGTCCAGATAAAGAGTAGATAGCAGGCCAGCGGATCTTAAACATTTTGCGACTGGTTTCATTATTTTCGTGAAAATATAAGGTGCTGTACTCAAACCAAACGGAAGTACATTAAATTCGTAAATTTTATCATCAAAGGCAAAACGGAGGAACTTTCTTGATGTTTTATGAATTTTAATTAAAAAGTAGGCGTCTTTGAGATCAAGTGTAGCCATGAAACAATCTTTAGATGTTAATTTTAGAGCAGTACGTAAATCTTCGAGTTTAAAGTGATCAGAAGTAATGAATTTATTTAGTTTTTTAAGGTTCAAAATGAATCTCATTTTTCCGTTTGGTTTGGGTGTCAGGAAAAAACTTGACAAGAATTGGCCACTGCATGGTTTACATTCTGAGACGGCCCCTATTCTCAAGAGGTTTTCTATCGCTTCCGTGAGGTGTGTGCGCTCAGAATCACTATAAATGCGCTGCACAGGCACTGTATGTTGTACTACTGGAGATGAAAATTTTATTTTATACCCTTTAATCCACTCGAGAATAGTGTGGTCGTCTGTAATTTTGGCCCATTGTCGAGAAAATAGTGATAATCTACCAGCATACTTAACGGTATTTAATAACGGCGACGAGCCGTCGGAGGTGGTGGCGGCGGCGGTGGCGGTGGCGGCGGGGGAGGCGGCGGCGGTGCTGGCCACGGCGTTCTGTAGTACGTCTGCGGCGGCGGGGCAGCTGAGCCTCGCTGGGCTGCAGGCCCGCGGCTCCTTGGAGGTGCACCCGGTTGCCTGCGCGCCGGAGCAGGAGCTCGTCGGTTTAAAGGTTTCGGTACCGAGGTGTTGGGTCTCTTAGACTGGTTCTTCTCATCTGCTTTTAATTCAACACCAGACTTGTTAACTGCTTTGGCAGATTTTATAGTATCCGCCAAATTTTGTCCAAACAAGAACGAGTCAATTTTTGTGTTCGTTAGATGTTCTTTCATATCTTTCTTGAGAGATGATAGAACGAAGTGTTTTCTGGTAGCAGAGTCATTGTGTTGGATATCACAAAGTAGGCGGGCAGTATCCATGAGCTTTTGTAATAATTCGTTGTCTCTTTCTTTTGAGTTAAGATGGGACGTAATAATGTCACTTAAGCATGACAGGGCTGATGCCATCTGTACCTGCTTAGTCTCAATACCCTTATCTCGCTTTAAAGCAATGTCAGCAAGTGCTGCTTTAATTTCCGGGTTAATTTTGGGAGCTCCTATAAGCGTACAGTTCGCGGGCAATGGATATTTCGCGATTAGGTTTTTTCTGGTCTCCTTGTTGAGTCCTTCTTGGGTAAGGTGTTGCAAACGCGATGCAAGTTCTGAACGTATGTCTTTTCCATACTTTATTTGTACCATTGGGTCGTCACCTAATATTTCCAGGATATCAGTGTCTAGTTCTGGAGTTTCGTCCTGGGTAGATGTTTCAGGCACTGCGACCGGTGGAACCGAAATTATTTTATCAGTTTCATTTGTTGAACCTGACGCTTGGATGTCTAACAAGGCATCGTCTATACTCGGTTGCGCATCAACATTTTCAGGAGATCCTGGCAACGATCCATCCGTATCTAGTTGCACGGTAGGCGACTCTGAAAAGAGTACGCAGATTTAAAGTCAGTTTTTGACTGCGATGCAGTAATAATATGTATAATAATTAATTTATATTGATAGGGAGGTACCCTTTTTACTGACTGAGAAAGCTTTGTGTCGAGTACGTCCCGATGACGGCTCTGAGACCACTGCTTATAGCATACATTTATGCTTATTAAAATTCCAGAAATATAAATAGTAGGGTACATAAAACCATCACACTCGAAATAATAATATTTTTACAACATTATGACTTTAAAGTTTTGCTTTATTGTTAAAAAATTTAGATTGTATAGTAATTCTACAATTTTCTTATTATGGAATATTATTATAATGATGGTAGGTATATTCAATATAGATTTTACTTTATAAAATATGTTTTACTGTAGTAAGTGATGGTATATTTTGTACAATATTATGATAACTTTTGTTATCTGAATTTGGTTTTGTGCAATTCCCGCTGAATTGTACGGTAACCGTTACATTATTTGAATGCGGTGAGGTAGTCCCGCTGACTATCTCGGTTGCATTCGTCTGGACAGTTATAAAATATAAATATGAAATGAGTAGGTACCTGGATTGTGAACCTCGCTTCGCATCCTTGGAACACCTTCACGAGCCGGCGAATCTTCATCTCGCGAGTCACTGTCCGTAGCACTATCTTTTTTCCTACGCATTCTACGTTTTAATTTTTTCATTTTACGCATAAGATGTAAAAATTCGTCGTCTAGATCAGCAGACCGTTTTCTTTTCGGCATTTTAGCACGGATTGAGCACAAGTTTGAAATACGTGTTAAGCGGTTGAGCACTAAACTGCGAATGACGAGAGGAAGCCGAGTAGCGGTAGTTAATGGTTTGTAGGGATACCCTCAAAAAAAAAAAAAAAAAAAAAAAAAAAACTCTCAACCACAGTGTAAAAAGCGGTTAGTCTATGCGATACTACAAGTTGTTAATAATCTACAAATACTAATCTCGAAGACGAAGCGCGAAGTATAATCAATCAAATCAAATGTACAGTTAGGCACAAAAATGCACGGGTACGGAGTATAATACAATATTATCAATTTGTGCGACGCGTGTTTATTTAAATAAATACTTCTAAATGTGAGTCTAGCACGTAAGAAAGCTTTTTGAAATAGTTTTTGAAAAAATGTAGTTTAACTAGTAGATAAAGGTAGGTAATTTATAGCAGTTACATTAAGCTACATATCAAGGTTAGCATGTGAAATTAATGTTTTCGATACTTCGAAGCTGCTCCCAAATATTAATTAATTATGTCTGAGGGCCAGAACCATCCCTTACGAGGGTTTGAGTTAATCCAATTACCTGCAACTTGTTGACTGACATATTGAATTTGGTAAATTACGTGTAGGATCTTACAAATTGCCTCGTTGAAACGCAACCGATAAAAATCTGGTGCAAACAAATTGTGCTATAAGTCTGGTCTGTGAGCACGTAGAATTTTGTTCAATGACCCCAAGCTACCCATCCTTATCGCTCGCACGTAATTATATTGCTGTCGCGACTATACGACAGGTACCCGCAATGAGTGTGCGAGCGCGATAGCAACATAATTACGCGCGAGCGACAAGGATGGGTAGCTAGTGGTCATTGGACAATATTCTACGTGCTCACGGACCGGGCTATAGAATGCAACTAAAATCGAGTCTTCAAGCGACTAGGTCCATTTTAGCTTGGCCAAGTCACCAGATTGAAGTTTAAAAATATTTTTTCTTCCAGCAACTGGGCCCAAGCTAAAAGTGAGCCGTCTCTGGAAGACTCCTAAAATCCTGGTGCATGAAGACGTGATTCTTCTATGACAATATAAGTTAGTCTTTTGAATGGAGCATATTTGATTCATCATCACCATCATCATCATTATCATCATAACTTATTTAAACTCACTACCACACTCTACTGGTAGCGGTGATTTGTACAAGGCGAGAGTAAATAGGCACTTACAGGGCAGATAATATGTATCATCCTAGACTGCATATCTCACTTAGCATCAGGTGCGACTGCGGTCAAATACCTGCCTTAAAAAATCTTTCCACTTCTGATGCGGCAGATGAAGGAAATGATCGTTGGAGCACTTTTATAGTACAAGTAGTTAGCTTAAGAGCGTTTACGTCTAGCGTGGCATGTCAAGTTTAGGTAATTTCGATGCTATTTTTATTCACACTAAAATAATTATGACTGTGTGCGTGTTCTCACGCTCTATAGTCAAACCAAAATACTTTGATCCACCATCGTAAAAGTGTGCCAGGCTGTCAAGTGACAGCCCAAAGAAACTATAAAATCTTCAAATCTTCCAACACCGACTCCATAATTATAAATAATGGTATACATTAGTCCTAATCAATAATAAATACGTAAATTCTTTATCAAATAGTATATTATCAAAGGTTTTTTACTATTTTGAGAATATTTTATACAGCCTATGTTCAGCAGAAAAAAATTTGAATTTTAATGGTGAGAGATTTTTTCAAATCGGTTCTATTCAAAACAAACTTTTCCTGTTTACTATTCTTTTTTTATCCGGAAAATGCATAACATTTCATACCCACCAGCTGCGGGGGCAGCTAGTGGGTTATGTGGGGTTCTTCCTACCAGAAGGTGGGTAGCCCCTACACCCACTAAAAACCTGACTGTTTCTGCCATGATCCATATGAGTGATATGAGGGAACGCGGGACATCGCCATTGGCTGTTGCCTGTAGCATTCGTCCTTAGCCGCCACCAGACACCTCCATGTCTAGCGACCGAGGCCTGTTAGGAAGGGACAGTTGGAGACCATAAGCTGTCCTCTTGCGCCCAGGGTGTCGGCGGCGGATAACCGGAGTGTCGGCTGAGGCCTCTCGCTCCCCCTTTCCACTGCTTCTTTCTGTGAAAGAACACTTTCACAGAAAGTAAGCACACTATACCATAAGATTATTTGTCTCATCATATATTTTATACTAATGTAGATATTGTTTCCGAAAGCGAGCGGGTTCATTCCGTACCTGTACGCTTCATGCGTTCTCTAGCAAAAGCTGAAAATCAGTGTTCTGCCCTTTTGAGGGTAGTGTTTATACTGAGCTCTTTGCTTTTTGCATCGCTGCGGCACACATCACTCTGACGCAGGGAACTATTTGAAACGCTAGTCATCTTTATCTTATGTTGTTTTGTCACTTTTGTTATGTTGCAACTGTTGAAATTATTACTAACCTGTGTAACAAAATACCAGTGGTGTCACCTAGTGTGTTTCTTGACTAACTAACTTTATTTCGATATTGAATTGAATTTCAATAGCAACTATACATAATGTGTGTGTTAAAAGCATTAAAAAAAGTGTGTTACAACAAATAAACAATTTATCTATCTATCTCACGCCTCTTCCCGATTGGTAGGGAGAGGTCATTTCCAACCGCCGCTCGTTCGCTTAGGCTGGGCACTGTTGGAGCGTGTCAGTCTGCTGCGGTGACTCACGTGCCAAGACTGTAGTGTTAACTGACAACCATCTACAGGCTCTCGGCCTATACGGTGGAGGAATGGCCCGAAGCACCCATGGCCCGGTAGAACCTGGGTCGCCCTTTGTGTGAGGCGATCATGCCGTCGCACCCACTCCTCTAATACAGGCAGAACTGCCTCTATGGTGCGACGTAAAATTTGGCTGACGGCCAGGCGTACCCTTCAGCACTCTGGGGCCTAGATCCTCAAGCCTCTACCTTTTGGTTTCCACCTCTCGTGGTGCACGTACACGTACATTTCCCCTTGGGACCTATGGTCACCTCGCAACTGGCGTCTATTCTCGGTTGTCGACACTAGCTTTGTCGCCACTGAGGATAAATGGCATAAATAATATCGATTGTCACCAGTGGTGACACATACTTTCCCAGTTGTAGCTACAGGCTTTCTCACAACTTAGGTATGACAAATTAGAATAATACATCCCAATTATGCCTAGTGGGGACGTACACAAATATTGACGCAAATGTCATCGTGCATGACATACGTAAAGTAAAAGTCAAGTAAGACCAGATGAATACAAATATTATTAATTTTATTTTGAACTAGCGGCCGCCCGCGACTTCGTACGCGTGGACCTCGTTTTACTCCTTAGTTCGTAAAATCTGTTGTTTGATATCATGTTGATAGATGGCGTTTCACGGCTTCCCCCGCATGAATATTTACGAACGTCAAAAACAGTAGTTTGTCCAGCACTGTAGATTTTAACCAATGACGATAGATTGCGCTTTTTAGACACGTCTTATTTATTTATTGAAATTTATTTGTCACATATCGTCATAAATTATAGCCTATAATTATGTTAATCTGGTTTATAAACAATAATACTGTAAAGTTTCAACAAAATCCGTTCAGTAGTTTTTGAGTGAAAGAGTAACAAACATCCAGACATCCAAACTTTCGCATTTATAATATTAGTAGGATTGTTATACGTCGCCACTAATGACAATAATTTTTTTCCCATTTATCCTCAGTAGGGACATAGTCAGTGTCCACAACCGGGAATAGACGGACTGCGGATACTATGCGGTATCCACGAATTACCTCAGCCTGTGCCTCAGTGATATCATGCGTTGCGCTTTTTTGAACAGTAGGATGCTCCACGACTACACAGCACTGTGCCATACTCGAGCCCCATATAGGACCATATAACGCGCGACGCAAAAGTATAGTCAGCGACTCAGTGCAGCCGGGCCTCCGAGATTAGGCATCAACCGGCTTAGTGCGCCGGCGGTAGCCAAAAGCTTAGGGGTGAGACGATTCAAGTGGCCGTCAAATGACCACTGTCCAACTAACTACAATCCGAGGTACCTACCGCAAAGATTTTCCGACTGTAATATGTTGTGTATGTTCCCCCTACAACTAGGTGGGACCCTGCTGGCAGAGCATTCCTATTAACTATTCTGTAACCACCTATTTATGGCAAATAAATTATTAGTATTATTCCTCTTTATAATATTAGTAGGTATACATACATAACTTGCTGTTCAAAATTTTCGTCATTCGTTTTCGTTTCATCGCTAAAAATAACTTAATTTTATTTTTCATTACGTCTGAAATAGAATTTGTAGTAAAAATAGACTGTAATGAAAAATAATAATAAAATATTTTAATTACCACGTGATCGCAAAATCTACCACCAAGATTTTGCGGATACACTATAAAAGTCCAGCTACCTGTCAAAGATCAACGTACGCGTGACACATGTCAGCAGAGCACCGAGCGACGTGACCTCACTCTGGAACGCCTCGAGGCGGACTGAATTTGAACGATTCGTGCGCGGCGTTTTATAGTACTTTTCAAATACTCATAGAAAAAAAATTACAATAAATTATTTTAAATTTCAAAGTAAATATTTTAGATAAGATATTCTTCTATTATATTAAGCTATTTTTGTGTTGAATGAAGGAAGAATATTGGTGAAAAAATCACTTTGATTTTTGGGTATTTCACGTTTTTTTAATTTGTGATTTCTTATTGTAAAATGCTTAAATCTAAAAATTTTCTCAGATAACTATTTGCCCAAGGATCTATGCTATAGGATATAAATGTTTGTTAAATCGTTTTCACAGTATTTTTATAAAAAATTCAGCTTGTAAACTGACGCTAAAGTGGAAATTTACAAAACCTGTGTGGACTTATCTTGATAGAATTCTTGAATACTAAACTAATCGCAATATTTTCTCAATTAACTATTTAGACGACGAAATTGCCTAACTATTTATGCCTATAACATATTTGTAGTATTACTGGTTAATGATTGTAACGAGTTGAAAAAGTACTGTTTTTGCGCCAAACGGCGTAAACGCTCTTAATCATTTATAAGTTACAAAAATCAACTCAATGGAAACTTATTATGAAAATTATATCTCTTTGTTTTCCATGCAGTGAAAACCGCATGAAAATTCGTACATTAGTTTCTGAGATTAAACAAACTGCTCTAGGGATCATAAAGGACAATGGGCAAAATGGTACCC